AAACGGGGGTGGGTCCTTCTCCTCCTGGTTCCTCTTTTGTGAGGGTTAGATGATGGTTTGTTACAAAAGTAGATGAAATGTGGATTTCCAAGGACTTGAACAGGGTGGAAGAGATGCCCAATAGGTAGGCCCCTAATCTTACAGACTCAGTTTCCTTAGCTGAAAAATGGGGACAATACTGATTCCCAGCTACTTCACATGGCTGTTCAAATGATATTTGTAAAGACCTAGGATAGCCTCAGGTAGAAGACTCTGTAGAAGCATTACCCTTATTGTTGATTATCATGTAAATCCAAATAGTTTTATTAAATTTAGTTTCACATCTCTGTTGGAACCAGACACTGTCCTTTCTGTATAGTTACTTATATCAGTATACTATTTTATATAGTATACTGTACTACTACAGTGATACTAATCCAATCAGTTCATATTACATGAAACAGGGACGGAGTGCCATATGTTTATGGGTGGGGAATGGAGGCAAAGAGAAACTGCAGATCTTGGAGAGCTGTGGCAAGAGCTGGCAATGAAATTAGTTTTCCTGATTTCTAGTCCAGCAACTTAACCACAAGCTCATACTTTGTCTTATTGTTAAATAAATGGTTGGTACTGCCTCATCGAAGTGTAGCATGAACTGAACTGCAGTACCTCCAGGCAAGCACCTTTTTACTGAACGTGCTTGGAGGGACTTGCTGAACTAATAATGATACTCCAGGTCGTGTCGTAGCCCCTGAGCCATCGCCAGAGTTAAATTGCCATCAGCTAATCGCACTTGGCTGTTCCTCCTCAACCCTGTCCTTTCCAGGTTGACAAAATCAGAATCAGCGAGGAAAGAAAAAAATCCTGTTGCTCTAAGTTCATGTTGTGCAGATGTTTGGTGAGTTCGTCCCATCAGATAGACTACAGACAGCTCTCTTCCTGAGACATGCAGATTGCCACAGCAATTAGAAATACTCCCTTTTGTCTCTGGCCAAGAAACTGCCCCCTTCTCTGAGACAAGAACCCAGCTTCTCCGTCAACGCTGCTAGCTTCCACATTGCTATGTACGACTGGTCATCATGGCCATATAAAGGGTGAAGTTGGTGCCACGCTCATCAGCAGCACGGTCTATATGTGGCAAAGACCAATGTAAATGCATTACAGCTCCCTGGACACTTTTTTTTTCTTTTTAGATTCCCTGTTCACCTCAAAACAGAAGACCCAAGTCCTGATCTTTCTTTCACAAACGGGGTCCCAGCTACGTCACACCTTCCCAGGGCTAGAGAGAACCAGCGATAGACCTTCAGATGACGTAGGGCAAAGCATTGTCAGGGGCAGAGTCACAGCTTTGCCCTGGTATCGTTATTCCAGTGTAGGGTAAGTGCAGCTATGCTGCAACAGCAGCTTGCAGGAAGTAGACATTATTCTGCACTTGTAACACAGGTAGCCCTGGAGGTGTACGCTGGACCACAGTGATGCCCTGAATGAGCAGGAACTGACCCCTGCTGAATGCCCTTCTCATGTCCCTGCATTAAGCTTTGTTTTGCGACACAACAGCAAGGAGGTTGAAAATACGTCCCACGTGTTGAAAGAAAATTATAAGCAGATTGAGCCTGAGTGCAGCAGATCCGTGAAACTAAATTTGACCTTTTGATTAAGAAGCAAAGGACTTGCAGGGGGGAAGGGGGAATATCAAGTATTTGTGATGAAAAAGCATAGGGACTTATTCTCCCCAGGAGTGGGGGAGGAGAGAGACTTGCTGTATGAAAGCGTATGCTGTAAATCAGTGTGTAGGAAAGCAGTACCTGTTGTGAATAAAGTCCAAGGAATTGTGGAGAAGTGCACAGCCAAACACACAGAGATTTCCTAGGGAAAGGTACTGTATTCAATCATGTTAATTATGGCGTGGGCTACATTTTCAATGCAGTGAGTCCACGGGATACAAAAGGGCCTTGGGGGAAATATAACAAGACAATCAGTTAATAAAAGACAGATTAAAAAAACCCTGCATCTGCGTTCAGCGAATGGAGATATAGATTCTTTGCAAAGCATTTACTTGGCTCTTCCATGTTAAGAGAAGTGGAGCCTGGGTGAATTTTGTACTGAATGCACCTTTGTCAGGGCTTGGAGCAGTGCTCTGTGCTGTGCTGTACTGCCTGTACTCTGCATGTATTCATTTTCAATGTATAGCTCCTGTGGTGCCAACCGGAGAATGTGATTATTTGTGTGCAGGCGTATTCAGATAGAGGGAGCATTCCAGCTTTATGCAAGCAAAGCGACAAGGATGGGGGTGTGGAGAGGGTTTGGGGCCACATCTCAACCCCATCCGGCCTCTTGGCTACCTCTGCTGAGTCGTCACCTTGAGTATCACATAGATGCCAGATAGGGTTGCCTTCTCTGTTTGAAGCCATTTCGGGAGGTTTCATCACATGATGTGCCTGTGCTATACAACACGAAACGTGCCCATGTGCTTGCGTATATCAGTTATGGATTGTGGTGCGTAGACTTTACATCAGGAAGGCAAATGCACGTTACTATTGCATTTTAAAACCCACTGGACTATTGTATAAATCAGATGCAACATTAAATATTTATTGTAATGAATGGCCTATCGTTTATCTCCTGGGCGACTCCCAGCAGTCTCCTGGAGGTTTATGTCTAATTCCTGGAAACTCCAGGACAATCCTGGAGGGTTGGCAACCCTGATGTCAGAGCTCCTCCACATGTCTGCGGCCAGCCTGCCCTCCTCGTGCCTCCTCCTCCCCAAGTCCACTTCCGTGGCAAGCACAGAGCCCTCTGTAGGGAGCACAGAGGACCCTGTGTGGCTGCTCGGGCTACAGACTTCCAACCTGCTGGCAAGAGCTGGAGTGACATCCAGGGCCTATTCCATAGCTCATTGGAGCCAGCAGGAGCCTTTCCGATGGCCTTTGGATCAGGCCGCTAGTGGATTTGAGTTCTGTTGGGTAGAGTCAGTGTAGTTCTGATATTTTAATGCCGTGTTTCTCAACCTTTTAAGTAGCTAGTACCCCCAAACTGCCGAAAATTTTAATAAGTACCCCAGCACTCAATTTTCCAGGGGATTTTATATTTACAGACTAATGTGTTGGAAGAAGGGCTGTGTATATAAGGCCGTGATATGACAGATGTCTGATCTGGTGTGGGTATGGTTGCCACCTTTTACATCAGGGGTGCACAACTCAAGTATGTACCTGGGCTAGGAGTGATGTAGGGCAAAGCTAAGAGGGCTGAACCCAGTGCCGCACAAAGCGATGCACGCCAAATTATTACTGGGGAATTTAAAGGGGCGCACCAATTTTTTTGCCATAGTTTTGAGAGGAGGAAGGGGCGAGAGAGAGAGAGGAAAAGAGGGTGAGAGAGAGAGAGTATCACACCCCCTGCCTGTGTCTTGCGTACCCCCAGTGGTATGCCTACCACAGGTTGAGAAACTATGTTTTAGTGGGTCATTAAGTTCAGTTGTCTAGTCGTCAGCGGGTGGATTGGTCAGTCTAAAATGCCCTTTTTTTCTCCCAAATGTATTTTCATTTTCCAAGTGGAACACGTTAATTTCCAGGAGCAACGTTCTCTTCCATTCAGGCTCCAAACATTTCTTAGGAAGTGACTTCATATTATTATTCACACAGATCATCGCTTGCAGCGGCTGTAACTGAATTACCTAGTGTTCGTATAACGGCAAGCTCCCAGCACATGGACGTTTAATGACTTTAATAAGTTATTATTTTCCCTTTATTGGGTTTGTTTTTAAAGAAGTTTTCACTGTGTTATTTATTATATGTTAAGTGGTTCAGCTTGCAGAAAACATATCGCATTCATTTTATTTTTTAATTTGTTTGCCCGCTAAAATAGAAAATTTTATTTATCCTGGTGGGGCAGTTAAGGTTTTGTGCTGACAGGTTTATGATTTCAATTACTCAGAAAGGTCTTTCCTCTTTTGTTTCACCCAGGGCTCCTTTACAGATTTGTAACGTGCCCCACTCTTTTTCAGATGTGTGTCTGAGCACACTGCTATTTCTGGAAGAGCAGAGGAAAAGTGCAATATAGTAAAAAGAGAATATGGAAATAGTTGAGTTTTACTTTCTTCTTTGAATCATGGAGCCCTTTTCTAGTCTCATCTGATGAATAACTCATTTCATCATCGTTGGTCTTTCATGAATAACTTTGTTCTATTAATGTCAGTCTGAGGTCATACTTATATAACCGTTTTGTTCCTAAGTCTTGATATATGAACACGTATGAGTGGGTAATGTTATGGAGGCCCTGAAAGAATTTCAGATGCCCCCCTCCTCATCCCAGCACAAACTCCTTAGCAGTGTAATGAATTCAGGTGCTGTACATATCAGAAAGAAAAATGCTGTATAAATCCCATACCTGTCCATGTAGAGGAAGAGGAAAAGATCATTATCCTGAGCTACATACCTCTACTGCTTAGGAGTGTCCTATGTGCTAGTGTTTGTGGGAACCTCATAATCTCCTGGGGCCAGCCACCAGCAGGCTATGTCAGACTCAAAACTCAGCGTAGTAAGGCACCATCAGAATAATGAACTTACCCTGCAGGCAGACGACCCAGGAATGACTGAGCGGACCCAGGAAGGCCTGATGAAGGAGAAAGAGCTGTAACTTTCCCATTCTAGCTCTGGTGAACCTTGCCCATGGCTTTTTCCTTGGCCACTGTATTAGACAGATCAGTGAACTAGATGGACAGTTGCTCTGTTACATCTTTTGTTTTTATTTCCTAATTGTTACCTTACTTTTTCAGCCACTTTTTGATGCCTGTAGGGTAAGTTCACTATTAGAAAAAGAAATAACTTGACCATGCTATGGGAAGATCCCAAATCCTAAAATTTATGAGATTCCGCACCCCCCACCCCTGCCGTGTTATCTGTGTTTCCCCTGAGCACTTGGCAGTATATGAACTGAATCTGTCTCAGTACAGCCTTTTATTGACCATCCTTCAGAGAGAGAAATAAAGCGTGTCTTCACATGTATCCCATGATGTTTTCCAGTGTGTCCGGGGGTGAGCTTTTTGACCGCATAGTGGAAAAAGGATTTTACACGGAGAAAGATGCTAGCACTCTGATACGGCAGGTCCTGGATGCTGTATACTATCTGCACAGAATGGGCATCGTGCACAGAGATCTCAAGGTAAGGCTGCTCATTGTCTTCTACCTCCAGAAAGCATTCATGAATGTGGTCCCAGGTACATGAAACCTAAGTGACTTGATTCAGTAGAAGTCAGTGTGTGAATAGGGATTTATCTGGTGAATGAGGCTTTATAATGGAGAAAGGCCTGTATAATCCATATTCTCCTTGATCTGAACAGTTGTGCTGTTTTATTTGGTGTCTTCTCACATTAAGGGCCTGATCCTGCCTTCCCCAGCATGAAAGGGCAGTGGGATTACTGTGCCTGTGATCTAGGGAAAACTGACATCCCTTACCTTAAGAGTATGCCTCTTCTGGACAAAGTCATATCTTTTTCGTGCCGTAAAGTACCTTGTGCATGTATAGCGCTATATTAAATTTTACAGACAATTAATAATTAAGATGGATTAGTTATTTGGAAATGTTTAATGAGTCCCTGTCAGCCCCCCTGTCAAATAATTCAATTTGACCAAAGTTTTTGTAAATGCTTCCTACGCAGACTGTAATTCTTCTGAGGAGCACAATGTAATCATATGATTTTTAGATTATTCTTCATTTCTGGCCATGCCCGTGTGTCTCATCAGATTCTTTCACTCAGTCCATTCAAGTAATAGCATTATTTCTGCATGCTTTTGTCCTTCCAATTTGAATACTGCCACTGAGCTGATAAGCAGATTTGTCTGGGACAGGTATTTCTGCATTTCATGGAGTGTCCAACTAAAGAAAACCAGCGCATATAAACCTTGGGTATCCTGAGTAACAAAATAGCAGGAGTCATGTATTTAATTGACACAACAACAGAGTGTGTGTGTGTGTGTGTGTGTGTGTGTGTGTGTGTGTACATAAAATTGAATGTTTAGGGTATGTACTTGGAATGCCATTACCAGTAGTGTTCAGTGCAATACACTGAAAATACTGTAAGTAAAATGAACAAGAGTAATATATTCCAAAGGTTTGAAAAGTAAGATAGTGTAATATTAAGTGTAGCATTGGGCCCCTTAAATTATTATTTATATAGGATAAAAGTTAAAGACTGCACTGATGTAGTTTGCACAAAATAGAGACTTATAGCAGTGAAAGGACAGTTAATATACTGAGTTAGAGCCCATGCAACAGAAATCCAGCCCCTGGCTCTTTTTCGCATTCTGGATAAATCATTTAATTTTTCTGGGGGCATCTACACGAGACGCTGACTACGCAGTAGCCAAAAAATACAGCACAGTAGCATGTCACAGCACAGACAGTGCTAATACACTACTGTGCAGTATTATTAGGCTACAGTGCAGTAGCATCACTTAAAAGACATTTGCCGGTGCTACTGTGCAGTAACTCCAGTTACCGTGAATTTATTTCGTGCTTGCTAATACAAGTACTAAATAAATGTGTAGCAATGACTGCACAGTAGCGTCCCACGTAGACGTGTCCTCTGTGTCTCGGTTCTACACCTGTATTATGGGAGTAAGAATTCCCAGGGCTGGGCTGATGCTTGGAGTGCATTGCTACTAAACCAATGGATATGTGCATGTGAGCACTTAGATAGAAAGAGAACAACTTCTCCATTTTGAGCTAATCTTTACCTGGCCAGTCAGGGTGTAAGACCCAAACTGTTTTTGAAAGGCTGAAGGATTTATTTGGATATCAGACGATTTTGAGGGAAAGTATTCCTGGTAGGTTCAACTGCCTTTGTCTCCAGCATTGCCTTCCTAGGACACAAAAGCACAGTTTAACGGAAATGAGGCCAAGATGAATCATGCCAGCATTAACTGGTATCAACAGAGAGTTTAATGTTGTTCATTCACCATTTCATTTTTTATTCCAGTCTTGCAAAACAAGCTGGCTTTTATATATTATTGTTGTGAAGATAATATGGATTGTTTTGTCTTAACCTTGCTTAAAACTTGGAGTGCTTAGCACTGTTTATTTTCTCATCTGAGTTTGGCCTTGATTCACAATCCCAGCTGGGGAAAATAAGTAAATACAGACTTGTCCTACAACCTGGTGTGAACAGCCAGAACAGAGAACATTTATAATTTTAAAACTTGGCATCAGAAGATCCAGTTTAACGTAAAAGACTGCAGAGGAGCAGCTCTTTGTCTTACAGGTTCACCCTGCTTTGGATTAGGAGCAATGCATCTTTGGTTTCTGCTGATCATTGGTTCTGAGTTTGCACCTTCAAATATTCATAAACTTTAACAGTTCTACTTACCAGTCTCCAAGCACAGAGTAGGACCATATGTTTCTTCAAATCTTCCTGCTAAGTAATGTCCCTCCACCATAAAACCCTTTACCAGTACTCTGAGTCATCCAGTCCCCTTCTGGGGATAATCAGAGAATACAATCGTAGCAGAATAAAATAGTGGAATAGCAAAAGACATGTTGGATCTTCTAGTCCAAGGCAGGTTTGCTCCTTAAAGCGTGTGACTAGAATAGGATCCTGGCTCCACAAAAACTGATAGCAACATTTACATTGGGGATGTTTGAAACAAGTTGTGGGCCGGGGTGTGGAGAGGCTAGAGGGGAGGAGAAGAGGGCAAGTAACCTGGCATGTGTTGGATAGGGGGTAGTGCAGTGAGCCCGTGGGGCACCCTGTTTGCTGGCCCTGTTTTCTTGCTTAAGACCCACACCCCATCCAATACCTAATTGTCAGAGGAAAGTGCATGTTGTGTACAAGGAAATATGGCAAAGGGGTTCCCCTCAATTTTCTGGGAAGACATTTACTCACTCTCATACATGTAGAATAAACTCCTTCCAGAGGTGGTGCAATCACCTACCCTGGAGGTTTTCAAGAGGAGACTGGACGGTCACCTCGCTGGGGTCACAACCCCAGTTGTCTTTCCTGCCTAGTGCAGGGGGCTGGACCCGATGATCTGCAAGGTCCCTTCCAGCCCCTAACATCTATGAATCTCACTGCCCTCTAAATTTCCAATATCTTTTATTCCATTCTGTCAGTCCCAAGTATGTAGTTACACCTGTCTTGCTCATCAGCATTTTGTGTCACTTCAGTGTACAAATTGGTTGTTTAGTATCTGTTTTACTTAAGCAGCCTTTCCCAAACTAATTTAATTTGTAAGAAATAACAATAGGCTTTTTTTTCTGACATGAAAGCTCTGAGAAGCAGACCCAAGTCATGTTGTTTCAGACGCCACACCAGCTAAGCTGTTAACATTTCTACACTTAGTATTTAAAGGAATGCCTTAGCTGTGATTTTAAAACAAGTTAGGCTTATTAGCAACATGCCAGAATAAAATATGAAATCTGATTAAATGAGTGGTTAGAAAGAGGATTAATTTATAAATTACTTCAGGAGTTTATTTAGGGACATGGCAAAAACAGATCAAATCAGACAGAAAATGCTGTAGCTTCATTTTCCAAATGTTCTTGTGGGGAAAACGCATGTTCTTTTCTTTCCTGTTTGAGAAGTAGTTGTCGATACCATGCCAATGGTTAAAATGTCTCAAAAAAGAGAAAATCTAAAGCCACGGATAGATGTGCTGTGTTGAAGCATGCTAAGTGCCTTTGAAGCACTTCAAACTGCATGTACATATGTACACCGTTAAAGTAGTGCTTGAAAAATGACCTTGTAGTGCTTTCTTTTGAAGCACTCTTTCAAACATCTATGTAGGCCAGCAGTCCTTCAGCATCCCACAGTGGTCGGGGGGAATGGGGCAGGCAACCAGTAAGCGCTCTCCTGTGCGCTCAGCTGTCCCCAGGACCTCCAGAGTTTGAGAAGCATGTTGGGATGCCTGCACTCCAGGGGAGCTCTGCAGCAGCTGGAGAGCAGTGCCTCTGCACGCCTTCATGGCCATTTTGGCATGCACAGCACCTAATTAGAAGTGCTCCAAGATTCAGAGCTCTTTAAGTCTGTCCATATCCTGATATTCTCCAGGTAGGTATTTTTGTTATTATGCCAGCTGTACTGATATGACAAAAATATCAGCGTAGTAAAGCTTGTTGGAGATCTGAGAACTTTTAATATAAATGTAAATTTGGAATGTTTTATCCAAAAATAAAAATACAGCAAAGAAATCCCTGTTTAAAATGATAACGTGTGCAGCATTCATAATAAATTAGGGCAGTTCTAATCATCATTCTTGCAACAGTAGGATGGTACTTAGTGGGCAGATAGGAAAGGCAGATCTTTCCCTGAGTTTCTCATCTAAATGACACAGCAAGAGAGGATAATAAATGAAGGCTGGAGTATGATGGTTACAACTGTCCAGGTCCTGAACAATTCTGTTTGGTTCAGATGCATCTTGGTGAGTTTACACAGGTCTTGCTTGTATTTTGACTCCTGCGTTGCAGATCTCATGGCCTGAGATGTGAAATTGCAGAGTGGTAGAACTGGTTAGGGAAAATTCATGAAAATGTTTTTGAGTTCTTCCCCTGTACCTTTAAAAAAATTTAGAAGTCTGTAAGAAATCAGAATGTTTAAAGTTCAGATGCTCTCTATTAGTACTTGGGCTGGTCAAGAATCAGGGATATGAGAAATTGGAGATTTCCATTTAGTTTTTTAGATTTGAAATTTCATAAATAATTTTAAAGGTTGTACAGTTTCCTTCAAGTCTAGTTGACAGGAGGAATGAAAGGAGAAGTTTGTGATGATGAGGCACAGCAGCTGAAACCTGGATTTATCCTAAAGATGTTCCTTACGTAAAGAAGAATTTCTGGATAATATGGACATATTATGGGGCTTTTGGTGCTCCACTTCCTAATGCAGGGGGCCACATCCAAGGGGAACAGAACAAAATAATCCTGAGAACCGTTGGCAACTGGTACAATGTAGAGCAGGGATGGGCAAAATACAGCCTGCGGGCCAGATGCGGCCCACGAGGCCATTCTATCCAGCCCGCAGGGCCCCTAAAAAGTGTAGAAAATTAATATTTATCTGCCCTTGGTTCCTGTAAAAAATGACAGGAACCAAGGGCAGTAGGACCCAGGGGAAGCCTGGTGCGCTCCCACAACAGCAGGGCCTGCGCGGCCCTGGCCCCCCAGCTGGAAGCCCCAGCCGGGGCTTCTGGCCTGGGAGCATGTGGCCGCCCCACGCTGGAACTGCAGGAAAGAGGGAATAGGGGGAGGGCGGGGGGGACTCTGGGCAGGGAAGGAGTGCAGGGGGGGAAAAGCGGCCCCTCACCCGCCCCGTGCCTGGCACCCTGTGCTGCAGGTGCTCGCAGCCCACCCGGGGCTGTCTGGAGCAGGCAGCAGGGGAAAGACGGGCCCCTCGCTCCCCCCATAGCCGGCCCCCCACACGGGAGCCACTTGCAGCCCGCGTGGGGCTGCCTGTGCCTGTTGCAGACAGCTCCATGTGGGCTGCAAGTGGCTGCAGCAGGGAGCGTTGGCCATGGGGTGGGCGAGGGCCTGCTCTTCCCCGTGCTCAGCACCAGCTTCCTCCCTGCCAGCGAGCAGCAGGTCAGGGCTGTGTGCTGCCCCCTGCCTGTACCTCAGGGCTGGGGGGCACTGGGAGTGAGTGGGCGGGGACCCAGTGGGAGCACGGGGCCCGCATAGGTGTCCCAGGGCCAGTGCCAGCGGGGCCCAGAGCAGGGTGGCAGGAGCGCAGGGTCCCAGGTGGCAGGGGCTCTATGGAGCCAAGCCAGCTCCCCCCTCTCCCTGCTGGTGCAGCCCAGCCCGGCTCCACAGACCCCTGCCAGCCCGCGCCCTGCTTTGGGCCCCACCGGTGCTGGCCCTGGGACATTGATCTCAAGATGGTGACTAGGGGGTGGGGCATCTATCAAGGGGCAGGGCTACCCATGTGGCCTTCGACAGCCTGCCAAAACAGGGTAAGTGGCCCTCCGCCCGAAATAATTGCCCGCCCCTGATGTAGAACAACCCTAGGGTTGCTGTAAGTAGTGCTACCTCAGAACCTCTGGACCTTTTCTGCAATCGTTCCTGTCCCCAGAACCCTACTGAAAGGGAGGTCCATGCAGCTTGGGCAGTTGTCCTCTGCTGCCTTTGGCCGAGTGTCTGTGTTGTTGAAGTAGATTATGTAAAAGTTCATAAACCTTGGAGTGAAACAACGAATGCATCCAGCTTCCTGAGCTGTCTTACAAGCCAGAGTGCCAAATTCAGCCTTAGCCAATGTCATCAACTGCATGGAATTGTGCACCCACTTACACCAATGCTGATTCGGGCCCAAGGAATGTAATGATTCTGAACTGCCCCATCTGTCTCTTATTTCCTGAAAAGCTGTGCTTGCAGTGCACATTGGATTTATAGGAAAAATGTGTTAAATTTATAGTAGGAATTTGCACCCGCTACTTGGCAAAATCTAGTGCAGCGCTATGTCAAAACACTGGATATCTTTAATGGTAAAAATGTAGCAAGTTTTGAGCCTGGACATAGGCAGTATGGAAATGCCCACAGCTCTCGTAGGACTCAGGGGTGCAAACCACCTCCCAGCAGGTGTTGCGCGCTCTACAGTCTCCATGGAATTGGCCTAGAGGTAAAACCTCAAATTATGTTTCCCAGCAGCACGGTATGTTTAGTAGGAGTTTTACTGTACATTAATGCCACATTGGAAACATATGTCTTAAGGATTAGCGAGAATGTCGCCGATCGGTATCTAGAGCTTGGTTCTCTTCTCAAACCAGGTTTAACATCAGTGTAAATCCTTGGAGCTCAGTGAACCAACTCCTGGTTTCTGCCAGAACAAGAAGGCCCCTCGTCCACCATTCTCAATACTGCAGGGTTTTGTTTCTAGTCAGCTGGAACTCAAATGTCCTTGGTGTAACTCTGTTAACTTTAATGGCATTTCCGTGATTCCCATTAAATGTAGTTAAAATTGTTCAACACCTACAGTTTTTTACATTATGTGGAACCTCTCCTGCAACTGTATGAACAGTTTGGAATGTTTTAGACAGGATTTACCCTCGGTACTTGCATATAAATCAGCTTCTCTGTTTTATCACCACAGAATAAGAAAAGCATTATTTTGTTCTTATGTCAGTCCTCTTATATCTCTGGTCAAGAGAAAGAAAAGAGCCATATTTCCTATTTGGAGTGTCAGAAGAAAATGGTAGCCTCCAGGGTGGTATGATCATCATGGAAAGGGGAGGCCTCTTTGGTTGCCTCACAAAGACAGGTTGGCCTTCTTGCAAGGATCTGTAGAAAGATTATTGGGGAAAATGGTTGGGGTTTCTGGGGCACTGAATATAACAAATGGAAAGTGTCAATCAACATTTGTCATTCTTTACTCAGTTTTCTAGTTGTAACTCCTCAATCTCCTTTGCAGCCGGAGAATCTGCTTTACTACAGCCAGGATGAAGAATCCAAAATCATGATCAGTGACTTTGGATTGTCCAAGATGGAGGGTAAAGGAGATGTCATGTCTACAGCATGTGGCACCCCAGGATATGTTGGTAAGTATTATGGGTTATAATTAGTAGCTGTTGTTCTAAGGTACAATACAGAAGCCAAAACAAATAAATGGCAATATGACAAGTGACAATATATAGATTTAGTAGGTCTTAAACTGCAGTTTTCTAAAGTATACTCAATGCTATTCCTTGAGTCTTTTTTTCTTCTCTAGGTCCCAATCCTCTATGGATGATGGGGAAAACAGTGGATGTGAAATACCTTAACTATAGCAGGGCTTTTGATGTTGTCTCCCATAACAGTCTCATTGACAAGATAAGGAAATACAGACTAGGTGGAAGTCCTGTAAGGTGGATACATAAGTGGTTGGACCATCATGCTCTATGAGTAGTCATCAATGGCTCAATGTCTAGTTGGGAGGAGGTGTTGGGGTGGGCAGCGGTGCTGCTGGGAGTGGGGGCTACAGCCCATTTTGGGATGGCTCTAGCCCCCCCAACCCTCCTCCCAGTACCACCACCACCCGCCCCGAGTGCAGCCCAGCCCAGGCCCCTGCCACAAAGAGCCCAGCATAGCCCCAGCCCACAGCAGCAGCCTACCCTTGCCCCACACTGATCTGGGGCACATGCCCTCCATGCCCTCCTGGGAGTGCATGTAGCAGTGGGAACTGCACCCCCCCCACCCTGCCCCCGGACAAGCTGCAGCTCCATCTCGTGCCCTGTCCCACCCCGGCTGTGCAGTGCCTGGCCCAGTCCCAGTGCTGGCCCCACTCCCTCCGTCACCATGGGGGCCTCAATCTGCCCCCCATGCCCCTTCCCTCCCCCTCGCCTCTTCCCCCACAACAGACTTGCCAGCTGGACACTGCTCTCCACGCTGCCCAGCTGCGCTCCTAGCCACCTGTATGCTGCACCCCGGCTGTGCACATGCATGTGGTATTTATTGGCCACATTATCAGCCACATGAGCCAAAAATAGCCGTTTGCCAATACTCTCAGTTTTCCTCATATTGGCACCAATCCGATATGAGATCAGTATATGGGTGCACTTCTACTTCAAGAAGTATTGGACATACTGGAAAGAGTCCAGTGCAGAGAGACAAAAAGTGATTAGGGAAGCTAGACTTATGGGGAAGGGCTGAAAGAGCTAGGGTTATTTAGTCTCAGTAAGAGAAGAATGAGGGGAGATTTGATAACAGTCTTCAAATACCTGAAGGGCAATTACAAAGAAGCTGGAGATAAGCTTTTTCTCTGTGGCTGTGGGGGATAGGACTAGGAGCAATAGCCTCAAGCTTCAGCAGAAGAAATTTAGGTTGGAGATTAGGATGAACTTTCTGACTGTCAGGGTTGTCAAGCATTGGAACAGATTACCTAGCCTGTGAAATCTCCATCCTTGGAAGTTTTCAAGAGCAGGGTATGCAGATACTTGGTTGGGATGGTTTAGTGAGGATGATCCTGCCTTGAGCCAGGGGGCTGAACCAGGTGACCTCACGAGGCCCCTTCCAGCCCTACTTGCTTGTGATCCTGCAGTCATATACTTCTCTGGGATTTTGCACACTTAGGGATTGTGGGTTTTAAGTTTGGTAATTTTATTCTTTCGAAGGCAGACTGCACTTACTGTTGAATTAGAAGAATATGAGTGATATCCTTCTAATCTGTCTGTGTTTCAGTCTCACATGAAACTGAAACACTCTAGCTAAGGTAACATCATTTTAATTATAAAGGATTGGATTTCTCAGATTCTTTCTAATACAAGTCTTAGAAGTAAAATGGATGAGCTGTGTTTATTTGGAGATCTCTGATAAGTCTCTGGTACAACCACATTGAATTATTGACTTGTAGAAATTAGAGATGGAAAAATCCTTTAGGTCTTCCAGTCCTCACAGAAAGTATCAGATTGCTTCCCATTTTATATGCTCTGATGTTTTTCCAGTCCAAATAGTTTCTGCACTAGGCTTCAGTGTTGTACTGCTGCTTGGATCAAAACCCTCCATTTTACCAATGGAGTTAAAAAAGAATAATTAACTGAACACTTAAAGTGCATATAAATTACATTTCCAGGATCCTTTGAACAAACATTATTTAAAAGATTTTGATTCACATTCAGATAAGCTCCTAAAAAGCTATGGCTGTTCCAATAACAAGGTACCAGATCGTTGGCTCTCTGGGGTAGCTTGGTTTAAACCAGCCTGCTTTTGGCTGTGCCTTTCTGCTCTGAAGGAGGAGCACCTGAAGGTTTTCAGTGGTGAAAGGTAGACTGTTGCATATGTTTAAATTAGACAGCCAATTCTAAATTAGACAGCACAGATTTCCTGTAATGCACCTGTTCTAACTTCAGACTTAACTGAAGTAAGATGTGCCTTGTACCCATGCTGTGGCTCTTGGCTGAGGGGAGAATTGTTGCAGGATAATCTTTGCTTTTACTTTTCTGTTTCACAATAAAACCCAAGGAAAAGGCATGTTAAACTCCACCTAGATATCCTTCTTCCTCCTAATCCTCCACTACAATCCATTTTTAGATTGAAAAATGGGGATCAAATGCAAGCTGTAGTGTCACTGGGCTCAGTTCTGCTGATTGTTTTAGTTGCAGCTGCTTACACCAGTCACATTTGTTGCCAGCTCTCATCTGATGTCCTGCACCCTTAAGCCAAATTCCTGCCAGGCCTTGCTGGTCGCACAGATTGGCCTCTGCCTTCTGCACTAAGTTCACTTTAATGTCTTGAGGCTTTGTGTAAGAATGGGGACTGCAGAATTGAGGGTCCAGCTGGAGTACTGCCATCAACTTTAGTGATCATTCAGTCCCTTCGCTGATTTACAAAGATGACCGCACCCTTTCAGACCGCATGCTGCTGTAAGGTGAAAACAAGAATGGCACAGCAGTAGTTCCCGTACTCGCATGCCTTGTTTCTAATTGGTTAGAAACTCACAGGGGAAGTCTCATGACTCTTGCTGACTTACTGCCAGGTCACCTGAATTTACATAGTAAGGGGAAAAAATCCCTCAGATCCCATAGCAAGAAACACAGTACTAACCTGAATAGGACAGAGTGGACCTCTGCAACACTGAGCCAAATACATCCCTGTTGTAAATCCTTTTGAATCCCATTATCTTTATACTGAACAGAATACCTTTGATGTTATCTTGGTAACCTTGGACAGAGGAATAGATTTGTTTTTCTTTTTACCAGTCTGCAACAATCACAGCCTTATAGTGCTTGTTCTGTTGTGAAACTTGAGGTTGGCTGAACTAGGGTACACCCTGCTTCATTTAATCAAGCTGAGCGGAGGACCTTCTTTCGGAAGCCAAACACTGGAACTGAGTAAGAGCTAAGGGAGCACATTTGATCGTTCTTTGTGTAGTCTGCTCAGCTCTGTTTAATTAAAATTTTTTGAGTTCTCCAAGGGCTACTGATCAAAAACAATAAGTCTCTAAGAAACCCAAATGTTAAGGTTATGTTTATTGAACATTTGATGCAGATGAGAATGAAGTGTAATGTAGCATAGAATAATCTGAGGCTGATTCTTCATGTTGCCATTTATAGGAGTCAACTACTGATAGTTTGGAAATAAATATCTTCTGATCACATGATTAAATGCTGTGCCACTTAGTGAGTCCTGATTATTTGTGGCTTGGATGCTGATCCACCACTGGAGAAGTGACTCCATATTTATCATTATCTAGTGACAGCAAGACTTCCTGACCACCCTTTGAGAGGAGGCCAAGGGAGCTCATTACTGAGGAGAGGGTTAGACTTTCTGACTTACCGTAGGAAGGTAATGATGTTCTATATGATATAGCCAATTTGACGGAGATTTGGGGTAAGATTTGATTCCACATATTATGCATTGAAGTGGAGTTAGGTAACTAAGTACTATCCTGTCTACCTCATGCAAATTACTGAAAATCTACTAATGCATCTGCTTATGTAAAAACTTCCATCTTCCCATTAAGACTGGGTCACAGAATAGCAGAGAGGAGGAGGACTCACTCATCTTTTGTATTAAGTTTGTCAAGGATTTGAGCAAGGTGAGTAGTTTCATAGTTTAATAGTTTGTAGGGTCGGAAGGGACCTTGACAGATCATCAAGTCCAACCCCCAGCTGTGGCAGGAAAGAGCACTGGGGTCAAACGACCCCAGCAAGGTGTTCATCCAGCCTCTTCTTAAAGACCCCCAGGGTAGGAGCCAGCACCACTTATCTTGGAAGTTGGTTCCAGATCCTAGCCGCCCTGGCAGTGAAGTAGTGCCTCCTGATATCTAGTCTAAATCTACCCTCTGCCAGCTTGTGACCATTATTTCTAGTCACTCCTGGTAGTGCTCGGGGCACCAGGGACTCCCCCAATGCCTGCTGTTCCCCTCTGACTAGTTTGTAACAGGCCACTAGATCCCCCCTCAGTCTTCTCTTGTGGAGGCTGAACAGGGACAGGTCCCGTAGCCTCTCCTCATAGGACCGTCCCTGCTGCCCCCTTATCATGCAACTGGCCCTCCTTTGAACCCTCTCAATGCTGTCCACATCCCTCCTGAAGCGTGGCGCCCAGAACTGGACGCAGTACTCCAACTGCGGCCTGACCAGTGCCGCATAGAGGGGGAGGATCACCTCCTTGGACCTGCTTGAGATGCATCTGTAGATGCATGACGAGGTACGGTTGGCCTTCCTGACTGCGTCCCTACACTGTCGGCCCATGTTCATTTTGACATCAATAATGACTCCAAAATCCATTTCTGCCTCTGCATTGACAAGAAGGGAGTTCCTCAGCCTGTAGGTCTGCTGCTGGTTCTTCCTCCCCAGGTGCAGCACCTTGCACTTGTCAGTGTTGAAACCCATCCTTTTCTCATCCGCCCACCCCTGTAACCTGTCCATGAACTTAGTTCCTTGATTTCCCTTAATCAAAAAGTTAGGGCGTCTGAAATAAAGGCTTACTTGTTGTGTATGGGAACAGGCATATTGCCTCAACTTGGGACTCCAGTTTTAGTCTGTCATCAAGAATATTTTATTTGATGGGTATTTCCCTTCCATGGGAATCCATTTACAATCAAGAAAGGGGGAACTCAGGA